TAATTTTGTTAGTATTCTTATCCATGGAGAGTTTTTGTATGGGTGTAGCTATTTTTATAATTTTAACTGGTCCTTGTTTTAATACTATGGACTTTTGTACAGGTACTGTTGTATTACAATTAGTGGAATTAATAACTATACAGGGTTTGGTGGAATGATCTTCTGCGTTATTGTTAAGTTTGCTATTTGCTATGGGAGTTTTTAATAATGAGGTTTGTTTGGGTATAAGGCTTGCCGTTGACTCCATTACTTGTGATTCCAAATTATTGAGATTTTCTATATCTTTAGCTAGTTCTATATTATCATTTGATATTTGCATATTATGGTTTAATTGAAATTGTTCTATAACACTTAAGCCAGTTTCATGGAAATCCATATTAGTTTGTGTGGCCAAGACATTTGAGTTCAATTCAGGCGATTCTGGTGTTTTTATATGGGGAAAATTTAAACCCAAATCCTCATCATTTATACTGGCAGTAGTGGCATTGAGTTTGGGATCTTTTATATGCATTTCCTCTAATGTTGTCATTTGCTGTGGAGATTTTTTATCCAATTGCACGTTGTTTGATTTTTCATTATTAACATCTAATATGATGTCAGAAAAATCGGGTATATTCTAAAAATTAAGAAAAAAAGTAGATGTAGATGAATTGATAAAGAAAAAAAAAACCTGTTTGTTGAAAAATATAATAAATTTTTATGTACATATGTAGTACTGATTTGTTAGAACTTTATATGAAAATAAGGTCAGCAGTTAACAGTGATAATTGATGGGAGAATAGCTTAAATGTGTTTATGTTTATTTTTTAGTTTTGCTGCTTGTAGTTTTTAACTAAATATGTAGATAATATTAAATTTGATCAAAAAGCACATGTATAACAAAATATTTTCTTTTGAATAATATAAATTATCCAATAAAAATCTTAGGTTTTTCAAATTACAATTGTTTAATGTATTTTTCACTAGTTAGTTTTATCCAAAGAAATAGACATCTTATAGGAATCGATATTGTATTAACCGATAGTGTTTGCCTCGAAAAGAATTATCGGTCACATTGGAACTGTTACAACAACATATAAAAAACATTTAAAATAATCTTAAAACTTATAAGATTAAACATTAAACCAATAAGAATTCAAAGCATATTTGTCTGAGAACCTAAATAGAGTAAAGTGCGATAAAACTATAATTACTCTATTTTGTGGTCTAATATTAATCACATTTGTGGTTAAATTCAATTGTTATTTAAGCATAAAAATTAAGGTATATATTTCTTAGTGCAAGTTGCTATCAGGCCTATTTTACCGGAACCTACGTAAACAATAATTTTAAACACCTTCTAATACTCACATTTTCCGCAAACAACTCCTCCGTAAAGTTAAATAGATCATCTGAGTTATCATTCTCAACTTTAACACTATCTTTACATTTCTCCAGACCCAAATCGTAATCCATAAATTGTGATTGCTTGTTAGCAGCATTGCAATCCACAATGGTTGCATTCAAATTAGTAGGCATCCATAAATACTGTAGCAAATCCAAAAATTTTCCATACAACGTTTTACCCTCCGGTTTATTGAGTATGGCCGCCAGTAATAAAAGTAAATGATCACAGATTTCTTGTTTCATGGTCACAGAATTATCAGGTTCTAATATGAGCTTAAGTTTCTTACACGAACATGAAAAATTGCCACTTTTATTGGGCACCATATTACTAAAAACGGTGACATGTAAGCGACCAGCAGGAAACATTTTTGATTCAACACATTTTACAACAAATATGGAGGAATTAAGCTTTTGTATGGGATGTATTAATTTCTCTTCCAGTTGATATAAATCCCATAAATGTTGTTTTTGTTCTAGGGGTATATTAAGATTCCACAATATGCTTTTGTCTATTGGATACACTTCGGCCACAGCAACATCCGTTAAAACTTTACAGGCCTTAATATGGCGACACACCAAGTGAGTGGGTTCGAATGCATCATATTTACAATTATCCACATAACAAACAGCACTGGGAGGCGATTCCACCGACTCGACCGTTTCTGTAATGCTAACAAAATTACGTGGGTTCAGTAATTTTTCTTTACTGCGTAACGAATAGAGTTTTGTACGGCCATAGGTAATCAATTGTATGGGGTCGAAAGGTTTAATAGCGGCAAGTCGTTTAATACGCAAATCACAGTTAACATTACGACATATTAGGGCCCGCTGGCCGTTAATGAAACCACAAGATGTGCATTTTTTCAGACCACGCAATGAGGCACGACATAAAATATTGTTTTTAGTTAAAGTTTCACACTTTGATTCACTTTTTAACATATTTTTAAAGTTTATTCTAACACTTTTATTAACTTTTTTCTTAAAAACTGTTATCAGCTGAAAATTACCGTGCGAGTTTTTCGCAGTCGGCAGAAAACTCGTCAACAGCAATCCCCATTTAAAACACACATGTTTGATGCACTGGTGCTCTATGGTTTGTCAGGCAGCAATGTATTTTGGTGCCATCATGCTGACGCTGCCGGCAGAGCCTTGCGCCGAAAAATATTAACGGCAGCGGCGGCTGACACTAAAGATGTCGGCGGCTTAAAATCGACTGTAAGCCGGCTAAGTTTTCAACTACGTTTAGTTTTTAAATTTTCAATGATTTTAAATAAAAACGGAATTCGAGAGATCAAAAGGTGCGATTTTAGAAGCAAATATTTTAAAAATCGGGATTGTCGACCAGAGAAGGAAATTTGTGTATTCGTGAATACTATTTTATGTATTTCTTTCCTTATACAACTCATTTTCACGAGATTTATTTTTAAACTCACAAGAACTATTATTAATTATTTCAACTGTTATTTGGGTGGGCCGGTCCCAAATAAAAACTTTTTGTTTATGTTTTGCTCGTAGTGGTCCAAGGATTGGTGTGTATTGGAGTTGAGATGGTTTGTTCTTTTTGTTAGGCCTGTTGATTTTATTCTGTGTAGCGTTGATTTTTTGTTGGATATGCTTGTCCTAAAATTGCGAAAGTGATACCATGTAAATGTGATACCTATGTATGTATATATGTATTTAGATATAAATTACCTGTTCACATTGTCCACAAGGTCCAGTCGCAAAACAGAATTTGGATGTAAAACCATTTATTTCTCTTCTGCAGGGCGATTTAATATGATTAACCTTAGAATCCAATACACATACATATGTATGTACATACATACATACATATATTAGGATACATCCTATCAACAAGGGTGGCTTTAACGACAGACCAACAATTCGATTTGAGATTTATGTAATACATACTAAGACGGCTTAACAATTATTTCTTGTAAATATTCGGCCACCATAGTGTTTGGAGACAACAAGAGCTTCACTGAAAGGCACACCAGACAGACATCGCATTCTATGGGTGTATGGTAGTGATTCCTTGTGGTAACCCCAGGGGTACGGCAATCAGTGTCCGTCAATCGCCTCTAGGCGATAATATACCATGTCACCACTAGCCGACCGAACACCACCCCCTAGGTGACTAGTTATTTCCACATTGGCATGTCCTCATAGGGAGGTATACAATTGCCACTCTCTTGTGGGCATTCTTCCAGGAGACCATCATGATGCCTCCTCTTTCTTTAGGGGCAAATAATTAATTATTTAACATCATTACTTACATTTTTTAATCTTCTAGATCTCACAAACAGGCCAAATCAATCAAAATGTATGTAAAATGACAGATCAAATGAAGAAGAATGTGCAAAAATGGCGCGAAAACATGCAGCTCGCGCAAAAAATCACTGAATTTTTTCTTCAAACAGATTTTGTTTGATGTCCCATTTAAAATACATATGTTTGACGACCTAGGAAATTCTGGTTTGTCAAACAGCAATGTATTTTTCGTATCTCGTGTTTGCTACAAACACTTTTTTGTTTGAAGTAAATGATTCTTATCAGATTTTGAGTTGCCAATCATTTGAGGAAAAAAAGTGTTGTAAAGTATCATTTTGTTAACTAAACAGCTGATTAATGACTGCCAAAATATAAATAATAAAGAAAAAATAAGAAAATTGACGAAATTTGTAAAAATATTAAATTAAACAAAATGTTATTTTTAGCCATACTCTTAATATGTTTCTTTTTGACATTTTCCACAGATATAATTAAATTTGTAAGTATTTTGTGAATTATATTTACTATACTTGATTAAAAATAACTTAATCCCCAATGTAGCTAAAAATTTCCAAATTGTTTGCCCCAAAACGTGATGCAGCCACCGCCGGCTTACAACAGGAGCTTCGTAAAGCTCGTGAAGAATTAGAAAAAGTAAAGAATTGCGGTCCAGCCAATGGAGAATATTCACTTTTTATTAAAACCATGAGAGCCGAGCAAAAAGTTAAAGATTTGGAACAGAAAATACGCAGTGAACGTACAGTGGGCCAATTGAAAGGGGCCTCCGCAGAGCTTATACTCAATTATGGCATAAAAACTGTGCTTTATATTACATTAGTTATTATTTCCATAAAAAATCGTTATAATCCAGTTTTGATATTTGGTGAACAATTTAATTTTCAACCTTTACAGGGTTTATTAACATTTCCCACGGGAGTGGCAAATGCCGTCTCCGTACCCGTATGGGTGTTATCTTGTAATGTAACATTTAGATTAATTTCTGGACTAATTAAGCAAAAATAAATTATTGAAATTTTAGTGAAAGGTGTGAGAAAGTAAAAAATAATTTTGGATTTTTTATTACGATTTTAAATTGATAAATTACTTTCCAGACTTCAGATCTTAATATAAAAAGTTCAAATTATAGTCAGAGTACAGCTCAGACTATATTCCATTTTATAATTTAAACTATAGTGGACATTGTTGTTCAAACTGAAGACTGCACTAGAATATTGTTAAGACTGTAGTTCTGAAGAGAGTCTAGAAATAATATAGTCTAGATTAGGACTAGGTAATCCAGACTTAATTCACATTATAGGTTAAGAATAAAAAATAGTCTTAGCTTTTTCTTTAAACCATTTTATTTACTAATTTTAAATAGTTGTTCATTATCAAAGCAATTAAAATTAACTTGTGCCTCTATCCATCTGGCCACAGTTAAGAGCAACGCTTCATTGAGAGTATTGCTCATTAATTGCAAACCTATAGGCATACCTTGACTAGACACCCTAATGGGTATAGAAATTGCTGGTATACCCGCCATATTAGCGGGTTGAGTACAAAAATCTTGCACCGCACATTGATCACGATTGGAAACCGATACAAAATCCTTATATAAAGGAGCATCGGATAAGGTGGTTGGTGTCAAAAGTATATCTGCTTTTTCATCCTCTTGACCACTAACAAATACACGTTGAAAATCTTCGGCTATTAAACGACGTACTCTCAGAGCCTTTTCAAAATATAAATCATAATTCTGGCGCAACAAGAAATAATTGCCGGTTAAAATTCTAGTCTTAACCACATTATTAAATCCTTCAGCTCTTGTTTTGGCATATAATTCTTCAGTGCTTCTATCATCATCGGCACGATGACCATATTCAATGCCATCGTAGCGAGCCATATTACTGGCTACTTCACATTGATTTAAAATCGAATAAACGAAAATACTAGCAGCAGTATGGGGTAGTGAAACTTGTTTGACCTGAGCTCCTCCTGATTCCAAAATATCGGCAATTTTTCTCCATGTTTCTAGTACTTCCGCAGACAAGCCATCGCAATGATATTCTTTGGGTATGCCAATACGTATATTTTTTAAGTCAATGTCATCTGGTTCGGCTAGGTTGATTGGTCGATAGGGTTTTTTAATTGTAGTCGAGTCACGATGATCTGGTCCAGCCACTGCATTAAGAATATCAACACAATCGCTTACACAACGTGTGAAAATACCAGGGACATCCATAGAATTCACTAAGGGAATAAGACCATGTCTGGAAACTAACCCATAAGTTGGTTTTAAGCCTACTACACCGCAATAGGAGGCAGGATTACGTGTAGAGCCACCGGTATCCGAGCCAATTGAACTGAAGATATATATTATACAGAATCAGTAATTTATTGTTAAGACTATAGAAACATGAGTTTAGATAGGATGGAATTTTTAAAAAGGAATCTAATTGTTTTAGTTATAATACAAATTTAAAAAATAAAACTTTTTAAATTTCATTATTCCACTGTTCTGTCCAAATTATGAATAATTACCAACACTGCTTTTGCCTTCGATACTTGGCAACTCTTAACGTCAAGACATTTCATTTGACATTTCACTGTCAACTGTCAGTTGGTTGGTTTTCTAGTGGCAGCGCTGTAAGCAGCAAAAAGTGTGTTTTTCGTATAAGAATTTTTTACAAAAATAATCATAATTTTTCTTTTTTTTAGCAAAAAACAAACGAAAAATGTCTGCTCTTTTACGTTTTGCTAACCGTGCTGTTGTTCAGCGTTCTTTGGCCTACAATCAATCACTCAGCATTGTGCGTGGCATTAAAACTTCACCCAAAAAAGATGAAACTGCTGCTTCTGTTGCACCCGTAACAAAAGAAGATTTTGCAAATCCCAATCCTAAAAACTGGGTTAGTTTTGGTTTCGATACAAAAGATGAGACCAATGATCGCAACTCAACAAAGTCCTCATTCTTCTTTGCCGTAACTTTGTGTTTGGCTTGGGGTACATTCTTCTGGGCCTATTTGCCCGACACCCAATTGCGTGATTGGGCCCAACGTGAGGCCTACTTGGAGTTGCGTCGCCGCGAAAAGGCCGGTGTTGATTTGGTCAGCCCTAACTATGTAGATCCTGCCAGCATTTCGCTGCCTTCCGATGATGAACTTGGTGATACCGAAATCATCATTTAAACGATAGTTAAAACAATATAAACAAAAAGTGTTTTTCTTTTTCTAAATATTTAAGTGTAATTGATAATGTTATGTAATTGAATGGAACAGAGCAGAGAGCCAGCTGAGGCGTTGAAATTTAATAAAAATTTGTGAAAAGAATATAGTGGAAGTGTTGAACTTTAAAAAAAATCTTATGAAACAAAGGAGATTGTGTAAAAAAATAATAATTTGTTAGAGGCTCTAATAATGATTTTTAGTTTTGAGGTTGTGTTTACATTTATGAACAGGGGTGGTATATAAAAAATGTTAAAAATTTTGATGGCAAATTTTTGAAAATATTTTGCGAAAATTTAAACTTACCCATAACAAATACCACTTGCCACAGCCAAAGCTGAACCACCAGAACTGCCGCCAGTTATACGCCAATTGTCTTCGCTAAAATCTTCACTCCAACAGTTTTTAGCTGGGCCATATATGGAATCTACCGTGCCAGAACCCATAGCAAATTGATCCATATTTGTTTTACCTATTAGAATGGCACCAGCTGCCAATAAACGCTCGTAAACTGTGGCATTGTAGGGAGGAACAAAATTTTCTAGCATTCTGTTAAAAATAATAATGTAGATAATTTAAAATTGTTTGAACTAATATAATTGTTAACTTATTTAGAATAGATATTTGCAACTTTTAGCTTTTTTTTCGGTAATGGGAATGAATAGTTAGTTACCTACCGGAGGCCAGGAATGAATTTATGATACGATCATTTTATAAGATATTTGAGGGAAGTAAGTAATAAGTTTTATGAACCGAATTTTAAAAATAATTTACTGAATATCTCCGGTAGATTAAAGGCAGGTTAGTGTTCTTATCTAATAGACCGAAGGTGGTGGGTTCGATTCCCATCTGAGGAACTGGTAATGGACCGCACAACAGGCCTAGGTGTATTTATTCGAATTTGATATATACATTATGCTTTCAAACTGACGTATGATATTAAAATCATATTTAAAGGCGTAATCCAAAAGTGTAAGTGATATATTACAATTTGATGTATAGGTATGTAAATTTTTTTCAGCACAAGAGAAGTTGATGATTTTCAAGCTAACTAGGATCCGTTCCACACAGAAATTCTACATTTATAATAAAAAATAAATGTTTGAAAAAATTTTAGGTATAACGGTTGAGTGGAATAATTAAGAATCGTCCTTTAACTTTGTGTCAAATAGTTTCAACTTTCTCCATGATGAAAATATCTAAACGGACACATTTAGGGAAGATTCTGAGACAAACTGTGTTGTAAGTGTAGAAAAATAACTTCCGGTCTTTCTTTGCAAGGTATAAAATTTTAACTTACTTGGAAGCACAGGTAGTATGAACATCTTTGGTACAGAAGTTATCCTTCATGGCAATGGTTATACCATCCAGAGCACCTTTAATTTGTTTTTCATGATAACGATGAGCCGACTCTTTGGCCTGATGCAATGCCAACTCCGGGGTGATGCGTATGAAAGCATTAAGCTCTTTAAACTTAACAGCATTATCTAAGGCACAATCCGTGACATGACGGGGCGAGTAAAAACCATTTTGATAGCTGGCCGTAAGCTGCAAGGGTAAACATTTAAATTGAAACTTGTAAAGAGATTAGTGTTTAATTCATAAATACTTGTTTTATATTCTGTTTCAAATGTCTACGCATATTTTGGCTGCCGGGAACAAAAATAAGAAAATATGTACGGAATTCAACTGAACATTGCAAGCCCAGCTGTTTAGTGTTATTATTGCAAAATTATTAAATGGTAATGCTATAAATGTAAACAAACAATGATATGGCAATGCTGGGTAGAGCCGTTTCATAATTGGTAATACAGTTTATCGGTAACACAGTAACTCACCACTTGTAATATAGTAACTCACCACTGGTAATACAGTTTGTCGGTAATTTACAAACTCACCACTGGTAATACAGTTTTCATCGATACAACAGTTGTTTTTGTCTGCAGACTTTTTGAGTCGATAATGCAGTTTTACTTCGAATAACGGTATTTGTGGTGAGTTTCTAAATTCACCACGCAAGTGTGGTGAGTTTCTAAAATTCACCTCACCTGGTGTGGTGAGTTTCTTAAATTCAACACGAAGTTTTTAAGAGAAAAAAAATTAAGAGAAAAAAATTTTTAAGAGAAGAAACAATTAATTTTAAGAGAAAAACGACCGACCGAATATTTCGCCTCGTCCGACCGAACATATCAGTTTCGGTTGGTCGTTTTCAAAAATAAGGCCAACTCACTATATTCGGTCGGCCTTTTTCAATATTTTATTATTTTTTTTGGTGCCGCGAAAACGACAAAACCGAAAAAAATAAAAAATATTTTTTATAAATTCACCACCGGACCCTCAAACATAATGCAAATTTTTTTATAAACCGTATGGGAATTTTTAGAATTTTTCAAAAATTTGAAAAAATTCCGCTCTCTTAAAAATTTCTCTTAAATAAACTTAAGAGAGTAAAACTCACTCTCTTAAAAAAACAAAAAGGTTGCCAGACCAGAATTTAGCCGCCGCTTTAAATAGGTATATCTGACGCCGTTAAATAATGGTTCGGCACAGGTGTCTGAACGTCATCTCGCCATCTGTTAAAAAAACACTCACACACACATGCACACAAAAAACAACTCTATTTTCTTTTCCTTTCTTTCATTCTTCTCTTTCTCATTTATTGTTAGGCGGTGGAAGAAGAAGCAGTAAGAAGAAAATTTTCGCGAAAGTGTTGTATATTTTTTATGTTTTTTTGAACAAATACTTTTTTGCTGCCGTTGGGTGTACCACCGCTAGTGCTGTGTGAGCGAGAGTTGGTGTGTGTGTTTGTTAATGTGCCGTCCAAGAAAGTGTTGCCGATATTAAATAAATAATAATTTTACTATAAATATAAGTAAAAAATAAATTACAGACTGGTTTATAAAGAATTTATTTATTGTTGTGACAACACATAAAATACACAGCATAGAAATCGTATTCTCTGTTTTGTTGTTTTCTTCAACCCGCATCTTCGATATATAAAATAAAACTTTTTTTCTTGTTGCGGCATTTGACAGTTAAAAAAGTAACCAAGCGGTAATTCTCTTAATAACTAACAAACACACAACTACAACACACTACCTAACTACTACAGTGCGCGTTTTATTAAATAAAAATTCAAGAAATTAATAATTAACACACAAAATAAGAAAAAATTAAGTTAAAAATTCAGTTCAATAAATTTTATTTCTAAGGGAAATTTAAAAAAATATAAATAAATTTCCTTGAAAGTGGACAAATAACATAAAAAAAGGATTTTCCTGCTATACTTAATTGAAGCTGATTTATAAAATTAGTTTTAAGTGAAAAAAAGTAAGTAAAACTGAAAAAAAATATTAAATTTGTGTATATTTAAAGAAAAATTACTCATCATTTTTATATTACAAGAAAATAAAAAAATGCTTGTTCTAGCTGAGGTTTTGTGTAAATTTCCCTTAAGATCTCTTAAAAAAAATCAATTGTTGCTCCTCTTTTTTTGGCATTTTGTTGGGTCTCGTGTTCCTTTTTTTTGATTACGTATTTTTTTGTTGTTAGTTAGTGTATGTGTGCTCCCCCCAATAAACATTTTTTTTTTTGTAAACATTCAGAGTAACTGTAAGTTTTTGTTGGTGAGATTTTTGTCGGTCGGTCGTTACGGTTTCCCGCCGCACCCATTATTGCCATAAGGTCAAAACGGAAGAAAAAAAGTTTAATACCAAAACACCAAAAAATACACCCATTTATTTATCCATTTTTTAGTTTTTGCTTTGTACTTTTTATTCTGTTTTATGTATTTTTCTTTCCCCAATTACTAAAATAAATTCTTTCACTTTTTTTTATTAATTTCACATACTTAAACATACACACAAACTTATACAATTAATATTAAAAGAGAGTGTGTAGTAGAAAGAGTAAGGGAGTGTTTTTTTAATAAAAAAGAGAGTTTTATCTTATTTCTCTTTAATTATTTAGTTAAATTGTGTAGTTTTTATGTTATTTTGTTTTTATTTTAGTTCTTTTTTGGTTTTTTATTAAATTTGTATTTTGTAGGTTAAATATTTATTTTTTTTAACATTAATGTGAAAATTTGTCTATTAAAGTAGCTTTAGGAGCTGCGTGATTTGTAATTTCAGTTTATTTTGTTTTTAATTAAACAGTGGCGGGAGATTTTGTTTATAAATTGTCTTTTCTTTGCATTGCATAGTGTGGAGGGGCAAACAAAAATGTTTTTAATTGTAATTAAATTACAAATGAGGGTTGTTGATGGATGATTTTAATAAATATTTTTGTGAATTGTTAATTGTCAGGGAATTAAAGGAATGTTTTTTCCAGCTGGGGTGTTTTGCTAAGTGTTTTACTATTATTAATTAATCTTTGTTTCTTTTCAAATTTTAAGGAGTGCTACTGGGTGGTTTAATGTAATTTAAAGTAAAAAGCTGCAAGTGTGAAAAGTTTTAACAATACATATTTTAATAGTAACTACGTTATACATTGGTAACTACTCCATATAAAGTTTAAGTAAGGCACGAAAAATTCAGTACTCTAGTAGGTACTTTTTTCTGTACTTTTTGATATCGAAAAATTGTGTAGTCTATAGTCTAGTCAATAGTTTAGTCTATATAGTCTATAGTTTAGTCTGTAGTTAAGTCTATAACCTATAGTCAAATCTATTGTCGAATCTATAGTCTATTCTCTAGTCTATTTTATAGTCTAGTATATAGCTTAATCTATATTATAGTCTACAATTTAGTTAGTCTATAGTCTAATCTAGCTGAAAATTAGTTAAGTACATTAATACCTAACCTAATACCTAACTAGTCTATAGTCTAGTCTATAGTCTAGTCTATAGCCTAGTCTATAGTCTAGTCTATAGTCTAGTCTATAGTCTAGTTTATAGTCTAGTCTATAGTCTAGTCTATAGTCTAGTCTATAGTCTAGTCTAGTCTATAGTCTAGTCTATAGTCTAGTCTATAGTCTAGTCTATAGTCTATTCTATAGTCTAGTATATAGCCTAATCTATATTATAGTCTACAGTTTAGTCTATAGTCTAATCTAGCTGAAAATTAGTTTAGTACTTTAATACCTAAAAAGTACTACATATTTTTGATATAAGTTAATACTATTTCAAATTTAAAATTTTCCATGCCTGTTTCAAGGCATTTTGTAATAGGATAGAAGAACTTTGCCCTTATTCCATTTCTTCAAAACTTTTGAGATCCTTAAGTAGACGGATGATGTTGTTTACAGGTGTCACGAAGAGTGCATGGAGGTTATTATGTACATACCTATTTCGATTTGAAAGAACAGAAACTTTTTTGATTTCGAATTCGAATTACAGAGTAACCCATATGATCAGAAGACTTAATGATTCCGAAAATACCTACATTGTTTTCTAATTGTTTCTTAGAAATAACTTTTTCTGTATTCAAAAAAGACTGAAACGATATAAAAACCCACAAACTCTTGAACCTAAATAAAAATGTATCGAGAGACTATATTCAAAAGGCGCTATTTTGATGGCAGAATATTCATCAAACATCCTACATCGCTGATAGAAAATTTCAAGTTTCAAAGCTTTTTGAAATTTCTCTATCTTAAAACAAGTAAGAAAGTATAGTCGGGCGAGGCCGACCATATGATACCCTACACCAGTTATGAATATTAAATGTGATTTATTTTTCATAGTAAAGCATTTATTTTCAATATTCCCTTGTTCCGATACATTTAAGCAATTTATGGATGAAAAACTAATTTTCTGAAAGAGGCTTTATATGGGGGCTAGGGGCAAATATGGACCAAGCCCGATAAAATTTTGTGAATATATTTATATTTACATAATATTTTATTGTGCTGAATTTCATCGCGATATTTGTGTTTATGAGTTAATTTGGGACATTCAAGTAATTTTCTGAAGGGGACTTTGTATGGGAGCTAGGGTCAAATGGGGCCCGATCTTTATGAAATTTGGCAGGGTCATCAAGACTTCTATAAAACTTAGTTGTGCCGTATTTTATCGATATATCTGTATATTTAATATAATTATGAGCTCAGAAGCCCTTTTCGGGGGGTTCTGTTCTATGGGGGCTAGGTGAAATAATGGACCGATTTTAACCATTTTCAATAGGCTTCGTCCGTGGGTCAAATAAAACGTGCATGCCAAATTTCATCCAATTATCTTGAAAATTGCGACCTGTACCTTGCGCACAAGGTTTACATGGACAGCCAGCCTGCCAGCCAGACGGACGGACGGACGGACATAGCTAAATCGACTCAGAAAACGATTCTAAGCCGATTGGTATACTTTAAGGTGGGTCTAGGACGAATATTTTTGTATGTTACAAACATCAGCACAAATCCAATATACCCTCCCCACTAAAGTGGTGTAGGGTATAAAAAGTAACATATTTAAATGCAAAACTCTCTAACTTTTCAAAAAATTAGCTTCAAAATTTATTATTTAGATAATTTTCTATTGCAAAACAACTTTTCTTTCTAATTAAATACAAATATTGAAAATGCTAAATACAAATATTGAAAATCGGCCAAAAGGTTTGCGAGATATTGACTAATATGATACAAATTAGTTTAATTTTATAGTCATGTTTAACCAAATTCCCTGGATTTTGAATCAAAATGTAGTATTCTGGAAATGTTTTCTATTTTTTGAATATCTGTAGACTTTTGATAAAATCCCTTAGTTTATTGAAGAAATTGAATT